TTTGGTCCATCAAGTGCAGCTTCTTGCACCACAACAGGTCACCTGGAGCTCTTGCCATTCCTGAAGCTTTCCTTGCATCATTCCTTGCATCATTCATTTCCCACAGGCATCTGGATGGCCACAGTGAGAACAGGATGTTCAGCTAGATGGGCCATTGGCCAGATCTAGCAGGCTCTTACATTCTTACAAAACTGTGACAAAGAGCATGGTCTGAAGGCATACAACCCACTAACCTTGCTGAAACTAAGCTGGTCCAGGTTTGGTTGGTGCCTGGATTGGAGGTTGCTCAGGAATCCTATGTATGCCTCCTTTAGCCCCACCAGCAAACAAAGGTAGGATATCAGTGACTAAACACTGCCACTTGCTTTCCAATTAAACTTCGGGCTGTGGCATTTTTCTTCCTCTTTTAAGAATAATCAGTCTCTAGGAATGATTTGTACAAGAGACAAGCAGACTAGATCTTCTTTAACAAGCCCTGGGGAACTAAAGCATCACCTAGGTCCTTCTTGAGCTCTCCTCCTCAGTTCCAGGATGAGGGTGACCTGTGTCCCAAGCTGCTGGTCATGCCCAGGCAGCTGTGTGGAACACTGCCAGTTGGGAGTCAGTAAGTGCTGCCACTCAAAAGGCTTGTGGGATTTGCTGAGCGCCAGTGGTTGGTGTGGGGCATTACCATATGGTCCCCATAAATTAAACCGTTCCAGGAAACAAATGGTAGATTTATACGCCTTTGCTCGTATGTGTGCCTCATTGAACCTAAGAGGTTTGCGACGGAGCTTGCACGCGCCATTCATCTTATTTAGCTGCCCTGGTTTTAGAGGACTAATCCTTAAAAAAAATTGGATCAACATTTAAAAAAAAAATCCTTTCTACATGTCAACCCGAGGCCTGTACGCTCATAAATCAGCACGGAGAGGGGAGAGGCAATAGCAGCATGGAAGAAGGGGGAGTTTACACCCTTTGGGGGACTTCAGACTGTCACGATTTTTCAGGAGGGATTCAGACACATGCTGTAACTTGAAGTTTGTACATTTTAAGTGGTTTTTTTAAGTGGTTTAAAGTGCTGTTTTCCAACAAATTTATTTACATCCCACCTTTTCCCCCCCAGGGAGCTGAAGGTTGCATACCTGTTTAATCCTCACAACAACCCTATTAGGTAGGATAGGCTGAGAGGGAGTAACTGGCTTATGGTCATCCAGTGAGCTTTATGGCTGATTAGGGATTTGAACCCTAGTCTCTCCCAGGCCCTAGTCCAACACTCTATCTCATATACCTCACAGGCGCGCGCGCGCACACACACACACACACACATACATATATACATATATACACACACAGTCATACCTCGGGTTACAGACGCTTCAGGTTGCGCGTTTTCGGGTTAAGGATGCACTGAAACCCGGAAGTACCGGAATGGGTTACTTCCGGGTAGAGATCATGTTCGCAACCTGAGCATCCACTGTGTATCACACATACACACAGCCTTTTTGCAGTTAGTCAATTGACAGGGAAATGCTTTGAAAGGTGTGGGATGAATGAATGATTAAGATGAAGATGAATTAGCACCATGCAAGCAACTTTGGAAGAATGCTGATTGTCATATAACCACCCTGTAAACTAATCAGAACAAATGCTCATTAAAAACCAGACACAGTCTAACCACCACATAAGCTTTGTGCAAGCAAATAAGAATGAATTCTAAATAAACAGGTCATCTGGAGGTGCCCTTTATTTGTGTGGCTCACATTTCAGGGCGTATCCCCTGTCCACCCATCTTGGGTTTCAGATCCTCTGTCCTCTACATGAAAGGCTCATTTGTACATTTGTGGGGGTGTTCTCTCTACTATGCTGTTGTGGTTGGAGCAGTTAATTTTAGAATGTGAGGTGTTGGAACTTAAGAGGGGTTTTTTGGGGGGGAGGTACACCCTCTGTGCTGGAAGTCAGAGCACTATGTACTCATAATGACAATAATGATGATGACACTAAAAATAAAAATTTACAGAAGAGCTCTGCTGGATAAAGCTAGAGGCCCATCTAGTCTAGTCTTCTTTTTCTCAAAGTGGCTAACTTGTGGAAAGCCTGAAATCAGGACTTTCGCACAGCAGTACACATCCTTTTTAAAATTAGTAATATCTAGATTCTGCACCTACAAAAAAGCATGAAAAATGTGAAAGAAATGAATTTACACTGGGCGCAAGTTGTGCTAATTAAGTACATGTGCACAATGTACAGTGGTACCTCGGGTTACATACGCTTCAGGTTACATACTCCGCTAACCCAGAAATATTACCTCGGGTTAAGAACTTTGCTTCAGGATAAGAAAAAAAATCGTGCTCCAGTGGCGCGGCGGCAGCAGGAGGCCCCATTAGCTAAAGTGGTGCTTCAGGTTAAGAACAGTTTCAGGTTGAGAACGGACCTCCAGAACGAATTAAGTACTTAACCCGAGGTAACACTGTATCTGTTTTGTGTTATTTATTTTCTGCAGTGTTTATTAAGAATTTCTGAATACTGTATGTAGTAAATTAATCTGTATAATTTAATGTGCTTCAGACAGATATGAGGCAATGGTAAGAGCAAACTTCAAAGCCTTTCTTTGCAAAAATAAAGGCTAGAAAGCTGAAAATGTTACACAGTTGATTTCTTTGCCCAGAACAGTGGTACCTCGGGGTTCTTAACCTGGGGTACTATTTCTGGGTTAGCGGAGTCTGTAACCTGAAGTGTATGTAACCTAAAGCGTATGTAACCCGAGGTACCATGGTACAGTGGTACCTCTAGTTATGAACTTAATTCATTCTGGAGGTCCATTCTTAACCTGAAACTGTTCTTAACTAGAGGTGTGCTTTCGCTAATGGGGCCTCTTGCTGCCGCTGTGCCGCCGGCACACAATTTCCGGTTTCATCCTGGGGCAAAGTTCTCAACTCAAAGTAACTGTTCCAGGTAGGCAGAGTTTGTAACCTGAAACGTTTGTAACTCGAGGTACCACTGTACCACATGATTCATGCTTGTGCAGAATTGCAGCACACACAGAGCCAATCTTATTGGATATGAGGGGGGGACGGAAGTAAAAGGATGTCACTATTTAAGACTCAAGCTGACTTTGAAGGAAGGTGGAACAAGGACTGGCTGGAGCAGGTTGCACCTCTTTGTTGCTCTCACTTCAGCCCGGGCTGCAACACCCGCTTTCTTCCATCTGCAAAGCCACACAGGACAGGACTGGGTTGTTTTGCTGACAAGTTGGCTGTGCCCCAAGACCATACTGGCTTCAGACAGTCTAAAGTGGAGTGAGAGTCACAGGACAGGTTGTGCACCTTCAGACATCACTAATCCAGCTTTATTAGTAAACCAACCATAATAATATCTTCAGTCAAGAACAGTGCTGTACCGAAGAATTCCACACTGAGAACCAGTTCACATTCTTTTTGCTCAGGCCACTCAGACTTTGCCTCTTCCCATTCCAAGCTCAAATGTTGCTTTTGTGTCAAGCTGCCCAATTTTACTATCCCATTACTAGCACAGATTGCAAGTTTTGCATGCAGCTGTGCTACCTTATTGTAAAGAAGGTGTTCATAGGCAAGCAGAGAAGCAAGCTCATTTTGCAACGAGCTGCTCAGGGAAGAGTCTCACTGTTTACTGCTTTGGGGTGCTTAGGCTGCTGCTGATGCAGTGCAAATGTTTGGTGCTACAGACAGTACCTCACAATTGTTAGTCTGATGGGTTTGGCAGATGCAGATACTGCCTAAGAACATGCAATGTCTTGCACATTTTTAGCTTGTTGGTTAAGATATGTGCTTTGGTTCCTACCCTTTTCCTCAGATCATTCCCTCCCAAGCATTCATCATTTAGCTGAGTCTTCCCCAACCTGGTGCCCTTCAGATGTTTTCAATTTCAACTGGCATCAGACCATTCATTAATGGTCTTAATCTCAGGGTTGTGGGTTCAAGTCCCACATTGGGTAAAAGATTCCTGCATTGCAGGCGGTTGGACTATATGACCCTTGTGGTCCCTTCCAACTCTACAACTCTACAATTCTATGATTCTATTCTGTTATCCGTTAGGGAATGCTAACTAGAACTGAAGGAAGTTGCAGTCCAAAACCTCTCAGAAGAAGACTGGCCTAGGTCCTGACAGGGAAAACCTGGTGGCTCATGGACAGCAAACTCCTGCTCATGGTAGAACTGGCTCAGAACCAGTGTGCTGTTCCTTCTCAGCTGGCACATGCAAGCACAAGCAAAAACAAAGGGCCCCTCCAGAGTGGTGTTTTTATGTGTGGGTGTATTCTGCAACATGTCGTTTATGCAATAATAGTGTGGTGGATTTATACAGGCGTTTCCACATTATCATTCCGCTTTGTAAGTTGTTCTGTAGTGTTTCCCCAATGTTGCTGAATTGTTGGTATCTGAAGGGGCACGTTAGACTATATATAGCACAGCAAAAGCGGGGGGGGGGGGATGAAACACATTTGACTCCTGAATTGGGGAGGCCCATTTAACATCAACATGAAATGGAGCCTTTAGTGTGATCAGCCTAGTCTGTTGAATGATCTGCTAGTATAGATTCAGCAGGTGCCTTCTGTTTCAACCTTTAAACGCCTGCTGAAAATGTTTTCCTCTTTCCATAATAGTTGATAGTCTGTGATTTAATTTTTTTACATGCTTTAATTATAGATTCTTTTAATGATATACAGCAGTACAGTATATAAATACTTTCCATAAATAAAGAGAATGTATGGTGTGAAAAGTTACAGGATTTCAGCAGGACTTTGCAGGACTTACACAGCATTGAAAGTGGGATTGCCTGTGACTGCCCCAATACCATTATGAGCACAAATCATGAATGCACCATAGAAAGAATGCCTGGAAGGGCCCATATTTACCTTCTATCTTGGAAATCTTATGTGCTGCCCCCCACCAGTCCGTGTGTATATGCTAGGACTTGTTTTCAGAGCTGATTTTCTGTAATGCCTGGAAGGGTCCCTCATGTCTTTTTTTCTCCTTTTATTCCAGGCATCTGCTTTTCCTCTAGAGGCACCTGCTCTGAAACTAGTTGCCAGTGAGGCTGCCCAACGCCCATCGGGCCCCGTGGAAAGCACAGCTGTGGGGAACGGAGCTGCTCAGGATTACAGGGCTGGTTTGGATGTGGACGGTGCAGCTCAAACAGCTACAAGTAAGCACTGCATTCCTTGTTTCAGTTGGGAGTGTGCTTGTTTGTGTGTGTCCATAAATTCATTCATACATGTGGATAAGTGAGGAGTGGCACAAGGTAGAACTCAATGTCGGGTGTGTGTAGCAATGGGGTTCTGTTCAGATGATCTTCTTATCTATGAGAGTAATGAGATGTCAGCCCACAATAAGTGATGCAAACCTGGCAGCAGTGGGTCTTTGAGTAGTCTTAATACAGGCTAATCTCAAGTTTGAGAGCCAGATAATGTGTTTGTTCTTCACTTTGGCTTTCAATAAGTGTATCTTTCTATCTATCATCTATCCATCTATCTATCTATCTATCTATCTATCTATCTATCTACCTACCTACCTACCTACCTACACACACACACACACACACACACACACACTTTTCCAGCTGACTTTTCAGTGTGACCTGAAGCAAAGCTCCAGCTAGCATTCAAGAGCATTCACCAGCAGCCTGCTTTGACAGTGGTTCTCCTAGTGGTAAGGAACACAATAGCCATACTTCGGGTTACAGCCGCTTCAGGTTGCTTCTTTTCAGGTTATGGACCACCAAAACCTGGAAGTACCGGAACGGGTTACTTCGGGGTTTTGGCGGTCGCGCATGTGCAGAAGCGCTAAATCACACTTTGCGTATGCGCAGAAGCGCTGAATTGCAACCCGTGTGTACGCAGACGCAGGTTGCGAACGCTGCGGGTTGCGAACATGCATCCTGCACGGATCACGTTCACAACCCGAGTGTCCACTGTACCCTCTTACTAAGGTTCTCCTTAAGGGAAATTTTGAGCTCCTGTGCAATTCCTGCCAGGGCTTGGGGGGGGGGGGCTGTTGCATGAAGTTCCAGTTGCTGAGACCAAACCCAGATGTCACAGTCTGCATGTAAAATATATTCCTCTCTCTCCCTTTCAAAGCAGTGACTTGCTGGTAGGTCAAAGGAGGCCACTCCTGAGCCTTTGCTATCCCAAAGCTAGGTCTGGCTGAGTGCCATCTCCTGGGAATTTAACATCCTCCCTGGTCAGGAACTGCAGCATTCCTAGAGGAGGCGTTTCTTTCACTCTCTCTTACACACAGACACATGCTTTGCACCCCACCTTCCGGGCCTGTTCTATGCTGAGAGTGTAGAGCTCCTGCTTGGATGAGGCATTGGCTTCCTCCTCCACCTGCTGTTATGAAAAATTGCAGGAGGAAGAAGCTAGCCCTCAAGGAACACAGGAAGTTGCCTTATGCTGAACCAGGCCATTGATTCTTCTAACTCAGTATTGTCTACTACACTGACTGGCAGAGGCTTTCCAGAGTTTCAGATGGGGGACATTTGCAGCCCAGCCTGGAGATGCTACTGGGGATTAAACTTGGGACCTTCTGCATGCAAATCAAATGCTCTACCACTGAGCTATGGCCCTTCCCAAAATGGCTTGGGCAGTTCAGCAAGCTGTGGAGTATTGGTGTCAGTGCGGCAGGGAGTCTGGGAAGTGAGTGACTGTGAGGCAGTCCTGATTGGCCACAGCTGGGGCCTCTGACCTTTGGAAAGAGCATGGGGAGAGTGGGGCCATGTGTTCACACACTACAATTGCTGTAATTTAGCAAAGGATTTATTAGCTCCCTGCTGCACTTCCTATAAGAGAACGCCATACAGAGGTCTAGGAAAAGCTTGTAGAGTTCCTTCTGCTTCCTTCTAGAGCCACCTGGTGGTGTCTTTCCAGAATAAGGGGTCAGGGAGGGTCTTTGGTAATTTGTGAGCTATTTACTGCCAGGCAGCTGGGAGCAGGAGCTGTGGCCTGGAACGAGCCATGTGAAGTTGCCTGTGTTAATTACCAGAGTCGCTTGGCAGACACACTGAGTAATGGCATGTTAGATGCCTGCTGTATTTCGTGCACCGACTCCTCAAGGCAAGGCCTTTGTGTTCCTGGTCAGGATCTTGGCTGGCACTCAAGGAGGGAGGAGATCTCAAAGCCCTGCCAATTGCAGGCGGGTGAGACAAGGTTAAGCACGGAGGTTGGCTGTGCCATGGGAGGTCTGCAACCCCCTCCTTTCTCCAGCAACTCACATGGCTCATCCTGACACATATTGCTCCAGAGAAAGAATGCAAGTGTGATGTGGGAGCTGATTGCCCTGTGCAGAAAGGGAGGTGTTCAGTTAAGTTCTACTCAGCCAGCTGATTGAAAGCAATGGACTTAAGCTACTCATGCTCATTAATTTCAATAAGTCTACTCTACTCTTGCTAGAACTAACATTGGCTACAACTGAAAATGTTTAGTACTGTATGAACATATGAAGTTTGGAGTGACATTTTTATTTGGGAGTGTTAATAACTTACAAACTATGTGCTGTATTTCTTGTGCATATGTGTATGATAAATACACTGGGTATAGTGTGCATAAGGACTGTGCACATGAATGCATTTTCTATATAAAACATACTGATCACAATTGGTTCATACATTTACAGTGGTACCTTGGGTTACAAACTTAATTCGTTCTGAGGTCTGTTCTTAACCTCAGGCGCTACCACCACACCGCCGGTGCACGATTTCTGTTCTCATCCTGGGCCAAAGTTCTCAATCCGAGGTACTACTTCCAGGTTAGCGGAGTTTGTAACCTGAAGTGTTTGTAACCTGAGGTACCACTGTATACTAATACCACAAATGCATTCAACTCAGAAAATTAAGGGGGAGAAATTACAGACATAAACTTGCTCTAGATTAGTGAAGGTGGGAAGATAAAAGTCTGCTTTTGTACCATGTGAGAATTGCCGATAAGCACATTTGTTCCTTTCAATTTCACATATTACACACACACAAACAAAAAATGGCAAGGGAGGGTGCTTGCAGAGCGTGCAGTCAGAACTGGGTGGTCTAGTTCAAGCAAGGATAGGAAGAGAGAGCGAGAAAGCCACTGGGGAGCACATCCTGGCAGCAGTGCAGAGCTGGGAGTTCAACAAGTGTCCCGAGGAAAGTTTATTAGAGCGTAACAACGTAAGAAGAGCCAGGAGGCGGAATCAGGCTAATAGACCATCTTGCCCAGCATCCTGTTCTCACAGTGGCTAGTCAGGTGCCTATGGGATGCCTACAAGCAGGACTTTTTACAGAAACTTTATCTTCAGCTGCCAGGCCTTTGGCTAATTAAACAGTCTATGGCCTTTTAAACTGGGGGTGGGGTATTGTTTTTGTTTCTTACTATGTCATGTATTTTTGTGTTTTTATTGTAAACTGGCCTGTGCCATCTGATGAAGGGTGGTATAGAAATTTAATAAAAATAAATAAAAGTGTGTATTCAGAGGCATGCCATCTTCAAAAGTGGAGGTAGAACATAGCCATTGATTCGGCTGTGCTTGTCCTCTGACATTCCCCACCTCCTTTCCCTTCTGGTTTTTAATCATTACTGCAAAAAGAGAACATTATCTATATACACTGAAAATATGAGACATTAATAATACCATGGAAAACACCCATTACCTGTTTAAAAAGCACACCATTATTTCCTTGGATTCCCCCTGAACTGATAGCAGGGAACAAACCTCTTGTCCATTTTGTGGGCCAAGAATGTAACAATTGTTTTAAGGTAAAGGTAAAGGGACCCCTGACCATTAGGTGCAGTCGTGGCTGACTGGGGTTGCGGCGCTCATCTCGCTTTATTGGCCAAGGGAGCCGGCGTACAGCTTCTGGGTCATGTGGCCAGCATGACTAAGCTGCTTTTGGCAAATCAGAGCAGTACATGGAAACGCCGTTTACCTTCCCGTCGGAGCGGTACCTATTTATCTACTTGCACTTTGACGTGCTTTCGAACTGCTAGGTTGGCAGGAGCAGGGACTGAGCAACGGGAGCTCACTCCGTCGCGGGGATTCGAACCACTGACCTTCTGATAGGCAAGTCCTAGGCTCAGTGGTTTAACCCACAGCGCCACCCACGTCCCTAAAACAATTGTTTTAGTACTGGTTTAATTAGATGATTTGGGAGAGAGGGAGAAAGAGAATCTATATTCCCAGGAGGGTAGCCTTCTTAGTCTGTTGTAGCAAAAACAACAAAGAGCCTTGTGACATCTTAAAGATGTAATTTGTGAATAAATGGAAGTTTCATCCTGAAGCATATTATATCCATTTTTCGAAGCCTAAACCATACTGTTGATAGGGTGTGTGTGTGGGAGTGTGTGTGAGATTGATCAAGCTTCCTTCAGTGCACAGCTTGGCATCTGTGATGGTTATGACTATGTTCTACCTCTACTGCTGGAAGGCATCATGCCTCTGAATACCACTTGCTGGGAATCACAAGTGGGAAATGCTGTTCCACTCATGTATGGGCATCTTGCTGGCCACTGTGAGTGAGTACAGGATGCTGGACTAGATGGGCCATTGGCCTAATCCAGCAGCCAGGCTCTTCCTATGCCCTTATGAAACATCTCCTGGTGAGCTTGGGTGACTGGTTTTGTTCCCCAAGTGCAACTCTGCAAGAGTTAGAGAGGACACTAGATAGTCTGAAAGGGTTTTGTGTCAAGATGCTGCAGAATGTTCCTGCATTATTTGCCTGCTCCTCATGGGGATCCCCTCTTACCTTGGAGGCACAAAAACATCAGTTACAGGCGGCCATGTGGTTTTCTGTTTCTCCAGCAGGTGGCTGGTCAGCGGACTGAGTAAATCATCATGCAAAGCTTTCCAGAGCAGCCATGTCCCCCTCCCCCTTCCCCAGGTCTGCTTATCTCTGTAGGCTCAGCAGCAAGGGGAAGGCCCCTGCCATTTTGGCCTTTTGTGCTTCCTCAAGTCCTGGGATCAGGCATTTGTTTAAATGTCGAAAACCTCTTCCAAGTAGCACTCAAGGCAAATTACAACCATTCAGAATACAGCATAAAAAGCACAGAAATTGTTAAAGGCTCCAAGACGTCTTTGCCGCCCAAATGAGCTGCATGGCCCTTGCATGGTGGACTTTCTTGGATTGTTTGGGGGTCACGGACTAAAATCTTCACTGGCTGAAATTCAACCTGCCTCCTCTCA